CTCAGTGTTGGTCTGTTTTGCTGGCAGATCTGGCTTCAGTGCAGATGGAGCCAAGTAAGCCTTGCGGACTGATGGTCTGTGATGTCAAACCTAAGCATGACCCTCATCCCTATCATCATGACTACTTTATTCTTGGGCCCTTTGCAGCGTGGTCTTATGCCTACTTGGCACACAGACAACTAAATTAAAAAGGGAAAGCTTAATTTAAAATATGATTGTATAAGATCAGGATTTAGGAATTTTCTTCATTAGTTTTTGACGAAGGAGGGCCCACCCCACTGTTGGTGGTTGTTTCCCTGGGATGGTGGTTCTGTCAGAAAGCAAACTGAGCAATGCCAGGGAAGCAAGCCAGTAAGCAGCTCCTCTCCAGGACCTCTGTATCCGCTCCTGCATACATATTCTTTCCCCTTTGAGCTCTTCTCCTAACTTTCTTCAGTGAGGAATAGCAATCTGAAGGTCAAAAGCCATATAAACCCTTTCCTCCTCAACTTGCTTTTTGACTTAGTGTTTCATCACAAACATAGAAAATCCTAAGTGATACAGGATGGTACCAGTGTTCCTGGGTATTGCTGGGACAGGCCTGATATGTTTTGGGAAGGATTATAGAAGGACGTTGGATCTTGGAATAGAAAAACCACTGGGCATTGGGAACTCGAAGGGATGTTCTGTGGGCACATGGCAGATAACAATGTTGATAGCAGAGCAGTGGATGAGGCCTGGCTTCTGAAGGTTTAGAAAGAAGTTTAAAGGCTCAACAGGCACACATGGAGGAGCAAAATGATAGATAAGTAAATAGAATTAATATGACAGCAGGGAAAGGAACTTTGAATTGATTGAGTCTATGTAGACTGAGGGGAACTGGGTGCCCTTGCCTGAGGCAGCTGACATTTCTGGGAAGGTTTGCGTGGCTCCTGGTAAACAGAAATGCACCATAGGTGACCTTTCTCGTACGTGGAGACCCGCATCAGGCCTCTTTTTACTAAACGGTCTTGTTAGGACCAGCACCTCAATTTTTGGGAAAGCAGCTTTGGATCTAATACCAACATGCAGAGTCTCTAATCCCACTGTGACACAAAAAAACCACAGCTCTGAAACTATAGAGACTAGGAGATACTTTTTTCTAGAGCCATTGTGTATGATAAACAACCTGAGAACACAGATTTAGGTTACACAATTTCCTATGCCAACAGGAAGCAGTTTCATAAGAACTTTATAACCAAATGAAGAAAGTCACAAATCAAGGCAAGCTCAAAATGCAGGACTGAGAGACTTGATCCATCTCAGAGAGACAGGTGCATCAAGATGGAGGAAGCCTCTCTGCAGGCTGAAGATGATATCTGCTGGCATTCTTAGGGTTTGTAGGATGTCTATAATTAATGGAGTCTATTGTCACAAGGTTAAGTGCCCACACAGAGAGAGGCAAACATGGCTGTTCCAGGGAGGCAGCACTTGAAGAGTCGGAGCAAAAGAATATGAGAATGTAGATTCCAGAAATAAGAATGTAGAAATAAAGAAATACAAAATTGTAAGCCTTGGAGAATAAAATCAGACTGTCAGAAGCTTTCTCAGCAGATCAAAGATTAACTATTAACAGTAGACAACTTTGCTTTACAACCATAGCACTATTTACAACTCCAAAGCATCTCTCTGCAAACTGAGAACTAGCTTATGGATATGAGCGGAGTCAACTTTCAGGAATAGAGAAATGACCTCTGGGTTAGGCATTATCCCTGCTATGTGAAACTGGCAACATCAAAGGGGAGCTCAGGGCTTCAGTTAACACTGCCTGGAAGTACCAAAGAAAACAACAGATTAAGTACAAACTAGTTTAACTAAAAAACTTTGTTAATGGAGATTATAAAAAAAAAAGACAAACTGCATATGAGTTTTATCTTGAGATTGTAAAAATTTCTTTGTTTAGTTAGACCAAGTGCTTAGTGCCCCTACTATAAAAAGCTGGGTTCAGAATGCAATCTTTGCAACAGCCTGACAAAATTTATCTCAGGCTGTGGTCTCTGCTAGCTGATAAGCTTTTTTTTTTTTTTAGCTTTTTTTAAATTTTTTTTCAGCTTTTTGTGTCCCATGGAGATTTTTTTTCATTTTAACTTTTTTTTTTCCCCTGGAGTCTGGTTTTTGGTATTTTGCTTCTGGTTTTTAGACTTTGGTGGTCTGTCCTCATCATTGCATG